CCATATATTTAAAGGAGGCCAGTTGCACAAAGTCAAAATAACAACTGACGATTCAGTCAGGACCCTGAATAAACAGGGTATAGAACAAAAGACATGTCACGGATCACGACTGGTGGCAGATTAATACATCACAGGTACAAGTGGGACTGCAGTAGCAGGAATGGGACCATGATTAGGACAAGCACATTATTAGTTAGAGGGACTTACAAGATAGGTTCAGGGCTTTTACACAAAGCCAGTCAAGGCAAGACCCATGACAATAGGCCTGTTCGGTCTTCAGGAAGTTGACCTCCATCAAGTACACACCTAGGCAGGCAAGTGGAGAGGTGCTGGCTGAAAAGGAGTACAGGCAATCTACTTCGAAGGCATCTCCCCCCACCCCCCCCTCCCCGCCAACCCCAGGAAGATGATCTACCTGCTTGGTTAATGATTAGAGAGAATTTAATGGAAACTTAATCAAAGTGGGGACACAGCAAATGGACACTGAGTTGTCACTGTCATCAGCAACCCAAACCTAAAACCCAACTCACTGCCATCAAGTGGTTTCCGATTATAGCAACCCTTTAGGAGAAGATCAACTGCTGTTTGTCGCTTTCCAAGACTAACTCTCTACAACAGTAGACACCCTGTCTCTCACTCCAGGTGTGACTTGGAATTTGGAACTGCTGACCTTGCAGTTAGCAGTCCAAACTGTAACCACTATGACATCAGCCTTTTGTTAAGTTGGAGTGCCCAGAACTTAAGTTCTAAAACAATTATACACAGTTACTTACCCAGTGAATTCTATCATTCAGGGAGATGAGCAAAGACCTCGGACCCTAACCATCAGGACAGCCCGGCCCTGGTACACTGGCGCTCTCCTGGACAAACTGCAGGAAACACGGATCCCTCCTGCTTCCCCTCAAGCTCCTACGCCCCGGCACTGCCCTCAGGAACCCCAGGGTTTCTCACCCTGTTTGGAGTCAGGTCAATGGATTTGGTTCACAACCCAGTCAGAAGTCGAAATCCTCCCTGGTGATACTTCAATGTGCAAGACAGTAGTAACAGATTTCTAGCTCCCTAGACTGGATCCTATATCTCTGTGGCAAATCTTTGATCTGAAACAGAAGAGGAGTCAACGTTGAGAAAGCCATGTCAGGTTCTTAGCCTGTACTTCTTGCGCTAAATAGTGACCACCCCCACCCCCTGGGATCAAAACCATGCTTCAATCTGAGGGTGTTTGCATTAATCACAGAGCCCACTCTATTTTTACAGAGCTATTTTACTAATTTCTCAAATATCATTTTCAACTATGGATCCACATCCTATATATGCAATATTTAATTTCAGAATAAAATGGAAGTATTTAAGGACTCAAAATTCTCAAGCTCCATTGAAGCTAAATACCTTTTTACCAGCAATCTAACTGAAGAAAGGAATATTTTAATGAAGAATGTTCTTTACTAACCTGTACTGCACCTCAGACCACAACCCTTGACATATCTGGTGAAAGTGATCAAGCTGAATCATGCTCATATATGCCACTCCAAACCCATGCTGAGCTTTTCATCAAGTTTAACCTGCCCCAATCCCCTTGCATCCTCTTTATTCTTTACAATATCTACTGTGTGTGAAGAAATGTCTATGGTTGGGTAGCCCATTTATGCACAATAGTGTGGTAACTAGAGAAACTTGCTGTAGAGGTGGACAACAAGAGACAGTGGGACACCAATAGGACATCCAAGATGTACCTTGGCTGAGACAGAGATATCCTAAATGAGAAAACAAGCCAGGGGAATCCTTATTTGCTACTCTCTTAAGCTCTTGTGTTACAGATGTCCAATTTTCAAGCTTTTGTGAAAGACTGAAGCCCACAGTGAAGCAATGGGAAGGGAAGGTGGATGGGTGATGCCAAGAGCCAAGGTGAGGGCCGAAGCTTAAAAAGAACAAGATGGACCCAGGAAAGAGATGACTGATCAACAACTGTGTCATCTTGGCCTAGATTCTGGATTCCAAGCTCTAGGTAATGCTGACAGACGGCAAACAACACACACTGTAGAAGTGGGTGTATTGGTTTCGGTTCAAGGATGTCCCATCCATA